AATCTCAAGTTTTCTAGATCTGAAGTTGCAATAGAAATTATAATTTAAAATATCTTTTTGAAGCAGATAAGTGTCTGAGACTTCATATCTGTGTGTATATGAATGAATTGCATAATACAGGTGAGAGAGAGACTATTGGACAATTAATGCTGAATTGTAATATAAAGGAACTTACCATTTCTTTACTTCAGGGGTTTTAAAAAATCTGCCTTAATGTATGCATGTATCTGTAGATCAGAATCAGAAAATTCAATTCTTTGTCCTCTTCCTATGGTAATACTAATATTTTAAATATTACGTTCAAGTATACGTATAGCACATACCATCTTATTCCGTTAAGAAAAGAATACAATTGGTGACATGAAATAAAATTTCTCACCACACCTTATCAACAGCTGAGAGTCAACAGAGCAAAACAGTTCTAGAGCTTTTTAATACAAAGAAGTGAATATTTCCTTATTTTAGTGACCTAGCAACTGTTTTTAATTTAACCTTGCTGTAGGTACATGTCACTTTGTATTAATACATTTCACTTTTTTTATAGAGACCACATTCCTTCTCTTCAGAATTTACTGTTAACTGTTTCAGTACTTCAGCTTCTGTGATTACTAACTTTTAAAGATTGAAACAGTCTATTTTATTTTTTTTATTGCATGTCATCTTAAAATCGGCTTTCATAAATGTGCTGAGTTTAGTTTCATCTTAAGTCTTCAGTTATTTTTAAAAAACCCTAAAATAATTGCATATATCTAAGTAAAATTTTAATCTTATTAAATACAGCAAATGTTTTTTCAGATTTTAAAAAATATGAATAGCTTTTTCAGCAAATACTTAAAACCATTCAGTTCAAAAGAGTGGAAGGGTAACTTCATGGTAGATTTAAGTTTGTCTTTTAAGCTACCGTAAAACTGAACAAATCACTGAGTAATTTTCTGTTGGTCTTGGAACTATTTGTAAACCTTTTCAGATAGAAAAGACATAGTAACATGAGAATTAGCCTCTTTGAAAGGAAGAGGATGGCAGATGAGGTGGTAATAATATATTGAGTAATGGTGAAGAAAGTTGTAAGAATTCTTGTTTACCCTCCAAGGGCTTTTTACAGAGTAATGTTTAACTGTATGTTTGTCTTTTTCATTGCCCTCATCTAAACAGAATCATATGTTCTTAATTGTGTGTCATAGTTCCTATGCTGCTGACAATTTAATGGAGATTCTTCTTTGACTGTCAAGTGTCCTGGCCTTTTTAAGCAGGAGGAACCAAGTTCTGTCTCTGTTCCCATGACATTCCTAGTGGCCATAAATTTAAAGGTCTAGTTAATTACACATTTATCATAATATATAATTCATTACTAGAAAAAATGTAATTTTATATTGTAAAAAATTTATCAATCCTGTATTTGCCTACATTGTTGCAATGTGAATTGATGGACTTAGGAAGAAAAATCAAAGCTAGTTTTAAATATTTTTAAAATATAAATTCTTATGTTTTGTTGTAATAATTTAGTTACCTACAGATATTTTTTATTTATTAAAAAAGAAAAGACCATGCTGCAGCTACCAGTTGTAGATCAAGTTTAATGAAGAAAGCTTTTCAAGAAGGGGGAAAGGGGAGTATGGGTTTTTCTCCAGTATCCTATAAAATGTTCCTTATTTCAAAACTGCTGCTCCAGCTAACTGGGGTGTAATACATGTGGATTTGCAGATATTTTTTAAGGAAGTGTATGAAAAAAGCATTAATTTTGTCTGTGGTGCCACTGAGTCTAATAACTAGATGGGATGTTGCATTCCAACTATTCTGGTTAAGCCATGCTAATTGTAATTACTTGAGATGCTAGTATTCCAATACTAAATCTGTTCCACTTCTATTCACAGCTATGTCATCTTATCTTTTAATTGTTAAATCTGAACTGCCTGGTGCAATTGCAGGATTCATAAGTGGAAATGACAGCGGGTAAGAGAAAAATGTTTCAAACATATAATGGACAAAAGCAAGTTGGGTAGAAGTCCTTGAGCTCTGTTGCAAAGTATATATACCAACATTTCCCTTTGATTTCACACATTAAAAAAATTAGTAATTTACAGGAGTTCTTAGAACACAGAAGTCTTTTAGCATATTTAAGAGTTCTTCATCACACACAAAAACAGAGCCCGCTTCTCTTCTCTCATAAATTTCACGTTGCTTTAATTCCATTGATTTTAGTGGTGTTAATCCCAAGTAGGAAATTAGGCCTGTAATTTCTGAGGGGTGTTGGGGGAGTTGGGGTTTTTTTTGTTTTTGTTTTTTTGCAGCCTTTGAAGTCAAAACTCCATCCCCCCCAAAATACTGTTTTACAATAGAGAGCAAGAATCTCATGAGAACTGAGCTTGAAAGGAGACGGCAGAAAAAACCAAAACTTTTAAGCTGCTGTTGTATTACCACTTTGCATATTGTTAAACCACAATACAGAACCCAGCAGGCATCCATATTTAAATATTTTTGTTGTCTCTTGCTCAGTAACTTGACTTGTCTTGAGAAACCTGCCAAGTTTTCCAACATAGTTTATAATTCCTCATCGTGGCTTCCTTAAAGAAATTATGCTTCGCAAGTATACCTATATAATTGTAATGTAGCAAGCAATGCACTTTAGATCTGAACCAGATTCATTACAAGAAAACTATCTGTCCTAGCTAAGAGAAATGTTACATAAGTATCGTCTTTGGGTTGTTGCAATGCTACCACTATTCGTGACAATATGCTTTAGATTGCTTTGCAACCTTTGGGTTTTTTGGAGTCTTTTATCTGAATAACATTTTTCCCTGAACTGAAGCTCAGTATAAAAAACTCTGACCAAAAAAGACTGTGTATGTGAGCAGTACAGATATGGTACGTAAATGTTGTGGTACTTAATTTAAAAAAAAGTTATTTTTGCTTATTTTAATTTTTTCTGTTTGATAAGAAGTGGTCTGTAGTGATCTTTTTTTCAAAATAATAGAGGTTGTTAATCTGTTAAAGTTCTGTGTAAAATGATTGTGTTTTGTATGTGCTTTTTAATTTGGTAAATATTGCCATAAGATTGAAAAATAGATATAATAGTTGTCTTTAATATCATCTTCCACCTTCAACCTGATATTTTAAGCTCTCTCTGAACACTGTGACATTAAGCAAATTGTGTTGATTGGGTAAGAGTTGAGAAAAAATTCTTTATTTTAGTGAAGCTATATAACCTGACTTCTGTTGATTTTACTGTACTTTTAAATAATGGTTGTGTTCGTGCAGAGTTGACTCTTTCTAACAAAAATTTGTAATACGGATTATAGCAACTTTTAATTACTTTTTCATAGTTTATTGGCATACAGTAGACGCCAGAGGCCCCAATGAGAAATGGGGATCCCATTCCGCTAGGCTCTTTACAAGCGTACTTCGTGACACAGTCCCTGTCAGAAGACCTTACAGTCTAGAAGAAAGAGGTGCACTTCTTAATGTGCCAGCATTTCTGCCTGATGATAACTCCACCAACCTTTGCTGGTTGTTGAGTAAAGAATTCATATGTTCAAAATGAGCACTACTAGAATATGTATCTTACCTGAAACACCTTGAAGGGTGCTTTGGTCGGATCCCTTTAAATTGGAAGTCAATGGGGAGTCTTTTTCCACTGACTTCTGTGGACATGGTCCAACTCCCATAATTTGTTTCATCTAAAAATATATATTTTGAAATGACTGATTATATCCATAATCGAACTGTATACACAGAACTGTGACTTTTTTCTGCATGTACGAAGTCTGTTGACTTCATTTTGTATTTTGATATTTTAGCTTTTTAAAATTTATTTAAAGCCCCATACAGCAGCCTGAATTGCCCTGAGGGAGCACAAACTTTAATATTTTTTTCCTTTTGTCCATTTGTTGCAGCCTTAGTGTTTACCTCTTTGGTAGCTAATTTTATAAAATTGTAGGAAATAATTAAGCACCCAAAATATGTAATTGAATATCATACTTAAAGGTAGCCTTAAATATGCAAGGGACATAAATATTGGATGGCTGATTTAACTAATTATAGTAGGAAATTTGTTTCCAGATGTGGTTACGTGACAGTTTTATTTCTGTTAGGTCAATATGGGATCTGATATGCTTTCATTATGGTGCATGGTTTATCTTAAACTTCAATTAGTTTATCAAATTCACATATTGTCTGTGAAAAAGTTGTTTTATTTGCATGCCTAAGTTCTGTGTGCAATGTATTTAGGATATATGCATGCATGTAACATTTTCTGTAGATAAAGTTAAACACATGTGTAAGTGTTTCCAGGCTTAGGACCACAGTTTGCAATGTGTCTTAATGCCTATTTTATGTATTTAAAAGAAAAAATACAGTATACACACTTGTTAATTGTAAATGGAAATGGTTCAATCAGTCTGAATAACAAGAACTCCATATATATTTTTTGAAGATGACATGAACGTAGTTTTAAAACACAGACTGCGTCAAAATGTTGTAATTTGTGAGCTCTCAGTTAACATTTAATGACCCTGTCAGGAGGATATGATTGATGCAATTAAGTTGTCTTGCCTGTGTGTTGTATAACTGATATGGACTGAGAGTAAGAGCCTAATTTAGAACATATGATGGTCTTGTCCTGTTCTATTTGGGAATGAAATTAAATCAATTTATAAATGTCTGTTTTTAGTTAAAATATTGGAGGGGGGGGGAGAACATCTGCTTGCCAAAACATTTGCAGTACAGCTAAAAACTTAAACTCCATATTTCATACTTGGAACATTTTTATCATAGAGGAGTAAAGTTACAGGTCAAACCAGTTTTATAGGAAATCTAAAAACTTTCATTTTGAGAGCAAATGTTTTTAAATTATAGTACTGTGTGGGAAAACCGGGTTCTTGTTTGATAACTGATGTTCCATTGTTATATTTTTTTTATTAACAATAACTTCCATATTTCAAACTAAAATGGTTTATGAATCTTTTGGTAAACTTCCTTTATTGTGATTTATATTTGCTATATTTTATATGGTATCTTATTTATTTTTTCCATGAATGCATTTTCCAAACATAATAGTATTGATTAATGTATGCTAACCAAAAGCGTTTTGTTCTCTTAATTTAATGGTTATCAGCGCTGTAATCTATTGACTGTTCTAGACTGTCATGTATTTTAAAGTGAAGATGCCACACACGTACTGCAATTGAGGTGTTTCAGCTTACCCTCACTTAGTGCATCATTTATGGTCCATTTACTTACCTCCTCCGTTACTTTTAAAGTTTCTCAGCCATGTTATGGGAAACAAATTGACAAACTGTGAATTAAAACAGCATGTGAATTGGGGCACACTTTCAGCGACCTTTAAGGTATTGAGTAAATACAATATTTTAAAGCAAATACAAGGGGCAAATTGTAAACAGTGAGAAAACGAGCCCTATATTTATCCAATATGGCTGCTGCTATTACTGTTAATGTTCTACTGTTGTCTAGACTGGCTGGCATTAACTGACACAACTCCTAAGGGCTGCAAATAGAAAAGTTTCATTAGAAAGTAACTGTAGAACATCTAGGCAACAAGACTTTAAAAAAAGATCTAATATAATGTTTCTACAAAAGTTTTCAGTACATAGCAAAATGGTCATTTGACTTGCACGTACGGTATGACTTCCGATTGGCCATAATGATGTCCGCTTATGGACTCTAGGTTTTTTCCTCCTTATATATAACACTTTTTTAAAAATGGTAGCTATTTGTCCACATAAGTGACAATCCACATTTTTCAAAGATAATCTAAGTTTCACAGGAAAAAGTACTATCTATGGTTTTTTTTGTTTTTTTGTTTTGTAAATGATGTCTTGAGTGTACTGCCTATGTATGAGGTGCTAATCATCTCCTGGACTACACAAACTCTCAGAGACTTAGGGTGTTTATAGGTAATAAACCTGAAGGCTGATGTACAAGATATTTATCAGTCAAGAATATGTGTTTATTACCAGGTTATCAGGGAGCACTTCATGTTACTGTTTTCAGTAGCAGTATGTCCCTCTGTTCTTTAGATTCTTTGGAGAAGGGACTCTCTAATTTTTTTAGATGAATTTTGATTTCTGTACAGCATTGTATATTTGTTCAAAGCTATTTATGCACATTACTGAGGAGATGCTGTTTCACTCATATTTCTCCTTTTCTTGTATCAATGCACTTAGGGAATGACTGGCTACTTTTCACGCAAGAAAATGTCAATTTATCTTAAACATTATTTGAAAACTGAATATGATGGATACAGATGTTTTCTCTTCTGTCTATACCCCTCAGCATGTCTTTTACTGAAACTTGGGCAGAAGAGAAAAGTTAGGATCTTATAATAATTTTTAATTAAAAAAAATTAAATATGCTTCAGTGTAGCTGTCCATATTGGGCATCTTGGAAGTGGAGATGAGCCAAGGCCATGTGGGAGTAACAGGGTAAGGCAAAGTGGGAAGCTGAGATGGCCACTTTTGTTTTGGTCATATGGATGAGTGGTTGAGAGCAGTAGTTAATCAAAGTGCAGTGGGCAGAGTGTACAGATGTTGACATTTAATAATATCCCTAGAAATCCCAGTGCTGTGTGATCAACTACTTCATTTGAGCTCAGACTTTTTCATACTGCACGGATATTCAATATTCAGTTCATAGGTACCTAACTCAGGCCTCTTCCACCAATCTAAATGCAAGTATTTGTCTAACACAGTGTTTCTCAAACTCTGCTCTACGAGACATCTCCAGGGGCTCTGCGAGGCTGACAAACTGGAAACACTGATAGATACAACACATACAATCAGTGGACCGCTGGGGCTCCGCATACATTTTTAGGCATGAATAGGGTTCTGGAACCCAAATAGTTTGAGACCCGCTGGTCTAACAGAAAACTGTCCAGAGTTGGTTATTCCTGTATTCTGCTGGAGAACTCCATTTCTCTGTCTCTCTCTGTCTATCTTTAAAATACAAATTCTTAGAGCAAGCATGATGAACAACCGATGCTGAATTAGAAGTCTTATTTTTGTCCAAGATCAGTGTTAAGTAAAGTAGTATATGTATGCTTTATAGCCTTTGAACTTTGTGAAATTTATAATTAACTTTTCCAATAGGTCATGGTATCTTGATGGCAGAGTGCTGTTACTGATTACTTCGGTCTGCATTGTTTTTCCCCTTGCACTTCTTCCAAAAATTGGTAAGTAATTTAAGGAAAGAAGATAGTATTATGCTATTTTAGAAGCAATTACAACTGAGGACTTAAAAAACCTTAATGGGTTATTTATTTATTTTAACTGGCAGGGGGTTGGTGATGGTGGGGACTATTTAAATTATTGTAGCATGTTCTGCCTTCCAGGCCTGCCTAGTTAACCTATTACTTGGGTTGCAATAGTATTTTGTCTGCCATACTAAAATAAAATCTTTACAGCAGAACATTAAAGAGCTGCATTTACTTACAGCATGCCATTAGTGGTAAGCCAGTTCTAATTCTGCCCTACAAAACTACATAAATGATCTGTGACAGGCAGTTGGAATGTTGTTATTCTGAGTCTTAAGCCCCAGATACCAAGCACTATAATAGAAAACATGCCTAAAATGTAAAGCTTTAGCTGTACATTAGGATCAATTTTCTTATAAATTGCCTTTTATTTTTACTATTATTTTACAGGCTTTCTTGGCTATACAAGTAGTTTATCATTTTTCTTTATGGTGTACTTTGCTCTTGTGGTAAGTTAAAAATCAGTGCACAGCTTATCTAGATAACATTTTTCTTATTGTTTGTTTAAATGTTTTATAAATCTTTTTTTTTCTTTTTTTAAAGTTTTCTGTAAAATTAAGAGTTTTCTCTGTGTCCTGGCATGCACTTTTTTGGACAGGATAAGTTTGTTTGGCTGAAGAGGTATGAAAATATGTATGAACTTTAAAACATGTGAAAAGGTTTAAAATAATTGTTTTGGTCTGGTAAATGGTAACAATATTTTTGTTTTGCTGACACTGCAGTGAAAGCTGGCATGTATACCTCATTTTCCTACTTGTGGAATGGAATTCTATTTTCTTAGCTTCTAACTATTACTGTAACTAGCACAGGAAGAAAATGTCATATTACAAGTATAAATTAAATTTACATGTAGAATGAAATGAGACAGTTCAAAGTGAAATTGCTCAAAAAGAATCCAAGAGGACTAGAACTTAGGCAATTGACTTTAATGCATCAAACACCTTATTTGCAACTGAAAGGAAAACTTCTTTCCCCTGAGCCATTTGAGTGATTTTTGATGCTGATATTCCTCTATTGTAAAGGAAACAGAACCAAATATTAGGGCTGAGATCTATTATGCAGCCCTGGGAAGAGTGTTGTGCCTTAGCATTGCATTGCTTTTTACTGGAGAGAACATACAGTTGCTAATGCACAAATATAATATTTAGTAGGTACAACAAGGAATGTAAACGAGTCCTATTTAGAAGCATGGCAAAATGTCTTCTGCTTTACTCTGGCTTGCATTGACTTGCATGACAGACTTATTGTATAAAAGGATAAACATTGTGGAAAATAAGTCTAAAGAACATGCCATTCAGAAGAGCAAGGAAACCCATTAGGAACTGAACCATGCGATAAAACCAAACTTCAAAGCTGTCCAAAACAGCTCCTTAGGGGATCTGTCAAGAACTGAAATGCTCTTATGGGAGGTTGGGAGGTAATCTTCTGTAGCTTGATATTATGGAGAAACAATAGCCTCTCCGTAGTTAACAAGTCTGACAAGGAGTTTCCATTACTAGTTCAGTGTTTGACCTCCTCTCTAAAATATATTTAAAACAAAACAAAAAAAACTTACCACCCTCAAAAGTTGTTGGTTAGCTCTGGGGCAAAGGTAGGTTGCAATGATTTTTAAAGTGCACTCTGTAACCTTTTTCCATTTAAAAGGACGTGCAAATTTCAGAAAGAAGTCGTCATAGTGAATGAAAAGATCTGAAAAGAAACCAAAATAAATGTTGGTTAAAGAAGAAATATATGCATAATGCCATACAAGATGAACATCAATTGTAAGCAAGATTCACAAATGCATGTGGCAGAGGCAGAAAGCATTTTGGTTCCAGGCTCAGAATGTGTATGTGTTGCTACAAAACTGAACGCATTTCAGGGATGCAAAGGGTTTTTGTGAAGCTGTAAAAATTGCATATTTCTGCCTTAGTTAGTACTTGATAAATTAGGAACTACAAAGCAATGTAAGTGAGGCCATATGCCTTTATGTATGTTTAAAAAAAAAAAACACCTTACACTTTTTGCCTAACAGTATTCTTTTCCTTTAAACTGCTACACTGGAAATCTGGATGCTGTATGAAATGCAATTTAGTTTTCATAGTTAACTCCAGTACTTTGAAGCAGGCGATAGGTACTATTAAAATACATGTTATAGTTTGCACAGTGTTAATGTCTGTCATGACAGCTGTACTTCAGTTTGTTGCAGAAGAAACCTGAACAAGTCATTGGAAGTAATACCCTTGTTTTTATATGTACAATTGACTTCATGTACATACGGTCTCCTTCAGCTTTTGCTTGTGAGCACAAATTTAATACTCTCTGCTGCAGGGATAGGTACCATATATTGCTCATGTCTTGTTTAAGCAACACGGTCTAGTGCAGTAGTTTCCAAACTGGGGAAAGCGCCCGAGGCATGCATGGAAGAACATTTGGGTGGTACATAAGTTGGCTTGGACCAGACCCCATGGAGTGGTGGTGAGGAGGGAGTGGCATCCCCTTCTTAACAGTTAGTCCCAGCTCCTCTGCTGAGCCAATTGTGTTGTAATGGAGGCAGGTGGGGGGACGTGGACAGATTTCATGAATGGTAAGGAGGCAGAGTAAATTTGGGCACCACACCTCTAGTGTGTAGGGCATTGAACTGGGTTCTGTTCCTAGATCTTTGTCCTGTTGTGTGACCTTGAGCATGTCTCATCACCTCTCTGTACCTTAGTGAAGTCATGTACAGTGGATATAATGAAATTCACCGGCATTTGTAAAGTGCTTTGAATTCAGCTGATGAAAAATGTTTTAAAAGCTTCTAAGATGCATAATTTAAGATCTGTGTTATTGCTTCGGAGTAGCTTTTTGTGCCTGTGTTGCAAGGTGGCGTGGATAGCCATGTACCCACTAATACCTGTGGTCACACTTCCCCCCACCCCCACCGGGGATCCTGCATGAGAGGGGGACAGCTAGTCATTGCTTTCTTAAGAATGCCATGTGTTCATATATGTGCATCCAGAAGAGCTGTGTAAGCACAAAAACACACACTTATCAACTGAAGTTGGTCCAATAAAAGATATTTTCATCTACATTGTCTCTCTTGAATGTTTGTACTGATAATTGGTAGATACTCTGAAATAAAAGGGCCTCTCTGTTTCATTTTGTCTTTATCTTGAATGTGACCACTTATTATTTCAGGTTTAAAGCCTGGAGCAAGTCATAACTAATTTTAGAAGGCAGAATTTCTTTGTAAACTAGAATGGGAAATGTGTGCAGAGCCCACATTTGCAGAGCCCACAAATGCAGTAGCAGGGACAGTACAATCATAATTTAGTAAGTTTCATGACTGATTGTAATATAAATAAATTGACTCCTGAGAGGGAAAGTGTCATATTTTTTCCCTTAATTTCCTACTAATTTTCAGTCCTGCCACATGGGACTCTTAACCATTAGTGTGGGTAAAATTCCCTATAGCATTCAACTATTAGAGACTTGGCTTTTTTTTTCCTTTTCCCTATTTTTGCCTTGTAATTCCAGCCACATTTGAGCCATTGCCATGTTTGACCTAGACTCCAGCCATGACTCCTTTAAGGCAGCCTATAATATCTAAACTAGTAATTAATTGGCAGGGTGGAATGGAGTTGACAGCATTTTCTATCAAATCCTGTTCAACTTCCTTGCTCAACTCTCCAATAGACAAGCAAGTTGTTTGCAATTGATGCAGTGGCCTGTATTACTGTGTTTACCAGTATACTCAAATTCTAGTTACGTATACTACCTCAGCCTTAAAAATATTAAATACTCTTCTTTACAGATTGTAATAAAAAAGTGGTCCATTCCTTGTCCACTGACATTAAACAGCCCTATAGAGATCTTACAGGTAACACGCATGCTATTTTGCAGATCTTTAGTAATATAAGTAATTCTTTCTCTATATCAAATTATTTGTTAGTAATATTTTATAATAAAAAAATTGATAAAGACTTTTTCTTTCCATTTATATAATATTGCTACTCTTTAATCAGCATTATTTTATTAACTTGCAACTGTGATTTAATGTTTGTAAACAGTCATTCAGAATGTCATTTTCCTCATTTTGTGTATTCTTGCACAGATTTCCAATTCTACTCAGGAATGTAAAGCAAAGCTCTTTCATTTTTCTAAGGAGGTAATGTGCTGTATCTTTGACAGGTGTGGTGTGTGGAGGTTTTGGTGTGTTTAATGTCCATACATTTTCCTTTCTTAGGGCATAAAACCAGTGTTTTCTGAAGGAATAGCTGTAAGTTAGAGATACCCAAATATGCCCCTCAGCTGTTCTCCAGGGTCTCAGCTTTCATTTAAAAAAAGTTTCTAGCTGTTAGTTGTGCAGAAAACCTCACACCTCTGACAGTTTTACTAATAAACCTTTGATTATAGAACAGCCTTCAGACTTCATTTGAAGGAGCTGCCTTTTTTTTTTTTTTTTTTTTGTAAAAGATCTTTCAGTTTTCTGAATGCTGTAACCAATTTTTAAGACACACAAACACTGTTGGTAGTTTTGTTTGTTTGTTTTTTAACTAAAAGGTCAGGGTAGGGTTAAAGGAGTCAATCATTTGACAATAATGTTGTATGTTACAGAAAGCTGTACTTACAATTTAGTAAGTTTCATATTATATAATCGACCGATTTATAATATTTTTACTGATTCTATGTGCCAAATCATGCTCATCTTACATACAGGAGTAAGCTTAGGAGCTAAAGTGGAAGTACTTGCATGAGTAAGGGGAGTAGAATTTGGTACTTTTCGATATCCAGAAAGAGTCTTATAGTCTATACCCTCCACTGTGAGTGGAAGATTAGCCTTAAATATGACCATTGGCTGATATCCAGGAGTTCTTCACTGAAATGGCACAGTTGCATGGAAAAAATAAGGGGGGGACCACCATTCTGTCATGTGGAGATTATCAAGAATCATTTGTCCTAAAAAAAAATCCTGTTGATTTGAGACATTGGATTGAGGCCATTGAAGTAGAATTTTGAGTTCACTCACATTTATTTACAGCTGTTTATAATGTGAGATTTTTTTTTTCTTTTCCTCCCCCTCTTTTTTTTTTTTTTAGAGTGCTTATGCCATCCCAACCATGGCCTTCTCATTTCTCTGCCATACATCAGTATTGCCCATTTACTGTGAGCTCCAAAGGTAACATATGGAAAGCAAGTAATGTTAAAATATAATGAGTGTTTTTCTTCTTCAGCCAAAGTTCTCAGAAAATCTGTTCCATATTCAGCTTAGTGCTGTTGACCAATGCCAAGGATGTATCCTTTATATATTGTTAGGTAGTGACATTTGCTTCTTAGACTGTCTCTATACTACAAGCTGTGCATTTATTCCCCTGTTCATATGCACATAATCATGGTTACTTAATGAGAGCTAGCGAGTATGAATTATAATGTAACAATGATTACATGGGCACTGTCAGCAGAGGCACAGCTGAGCTATGCCCTGCCAAATATGTACCCACTGTTTTCAGGCAGGTTTGTACTTAGTATAGCTTACCCTACCTCTGCTGTACATGCTACCACAGTTTAGTACTATTTATATTTGCACTCACTCTCATCAAGCTACTGCAAGAGGTGTAAACAAGCAGGGAAATCATGTGTCTAGCTTGTAGTGTAGACATAGCTTCAGATTATATTTGTAGCAGAGAAACTAGTAAATGTTTTCATTGTCTACTGGAAAAATAAAATCCATAGACATTTACCAGCTGATTCTCTTTTTTTTTTTTTTTTTTTTAAACTGCATCTAGAGAGCCTGCATTTGGCCAAATTGCTGTGGCTCGGTTTATAGGGGATTGGACTAGGTTCTATTCCTGGCTCTACCATTGACTTATGTCATCATGGGCAAATCATAACCGGGGGTGGGGGAGGGTCATCTCTGTGTGCCTCAGTTTCCGTGTCTGTAAAATAGCAGTAATGATCCTTGTCTTCATTTGTAAAGTGCTTTGAAATCTGCAAAAACAAGGACCAATGAAGTATTGGGTGGTGATAAAACACAGGGTTCCTTCTGTGTAAAATGTAAATTGCAAGATCATTTTAAAGATGAACTGCCATGTTCAACATTTCAAACCATACATTAAAAAATAATTACTTGCGGTTTTTGCATTTTAGCCCATCAAAAAGCAGAATGCAGAATGTAACCAACACAGGAATTGGTCTGAGTTTCCTAATCTATTTTGTGTCTGCCTTGTTTGGGTATCTTACTTTTTATGGTAAGTATGTTTTTCACAATTCTTTAGAGGTCAAGATAAAAATAAAGAATGTTCTATCTTCTCATATACTGCATAGTACATGTACTGTTTCTGCCTTCTCCTGAAGATTTATTTTTCATTTAGTTGTATGCTAAATAATTCCATTCTATTTGCACATATATAAAGCCTACTACAGAATATATGCTAAGGAATAAAATATTTGGGCATTTAAAATAAGGTCTTTGTTCCACATATGAAATAGTCAAGCCACGTAAACACCAGTCCTGTGATTATATAGAGATGTTCCTAGCTTTGTTAAAATTGACTTCAGTATGGTTACCCAGTGTGTAAGTTAAACATGTATGTATTTCTTTGCAAGATTGGGGCTTTAAATGCTATCCAAGTATACCATTCAATTTCTTAATTGAGATTACTGTAATATCTTCTAAGATCATGCCTTCATTGGAGCAGTGATTTTCAAACTTTTTTTTTTCTTGTGACCCAGTTGGGAAAAATTTATGCCAGTGACCCAGTAATTACCTTATTAGCATTTTCATAAATATTGCATTATATCCCAGTTCCTCGGCAGCTACTGACAAGCTGGGCAGGAGGCTCCGTGTCAGCTGCCGACCCAGTACCCCACATCCTGCCACCCAGTACTGGGTCAGGACCCATATTTTAGCAATCACTGTGTTAGAGAAGCTTGACCTACTAATTACCATCTAGTCCACCCAGTGCACCTGTAGCACAACATTCATCACTGATCCTATTGTGCCTTTTACCAGTGTTTTCTCAAAGTGGTTTGGGACCTACTCTGAGAGAACTACTAACTGGCCGCTACCGTTTATTTGTTTATTGTCTGCACAGCCACGGAGCCTCACAGCTCCAATTGGCTCCAGTTTGCCATTTGCGCCAAGGGCAGCCGTGGTAAGCATCATGGACAGGGCTGCTGCTTCTCGTGGCTCCCTTCAGCTGCAAAAGGTAAACTGGAACCAATTGGAGCTGTGAGGCTCCATGGCTGCAGAGCCAGAAAACAAATAAACGGTAGCAGCCAGTTAGCAGCTCTCTGAGTGGGTCTCTGGACCACTTTGAGAAATGCTGCCTTATACCAAGGACTGAGCCAATAGTAGGATGGCCCTAGGAGCGCAGAGGTGTAAAGGTGGGTTGTAGTCATCTTTACACCCCACCAGAGCATTGGCAAGAGCATTCTGGACACAGCCCATGATGACCTGTAGATTTCTTGTATGGATTTATTTGAATAGAAATCTGTGTAGTTAATGAAACCAAAACAAAAGGCTAAACAAACACTCAAAGGAAAAAACACAACACTGCTGCTATGTGCAACAGAAAAGCAAACCCAAAGTAGGCACAAACACGAAGTGATGTGTAGAGCATTAATTATGTGGTCATGGGGAACAAGGTATACATTCTGTTGAAGATCCCTTTACAGCAGTGTTTCTCAACCAATGGTATGAGTACCCTTAGGGGTACTTGAGAGAAGTCTGGGGGAGGGGGGGGTACATCAATACAACTGAAATTTGGAGAAAACTGAATTTATGTTTAAAGTTTTACAGTGCTTTGTTATTTTTGTACTTTTTACACCCAAAAATGTCATCACCCGCCTGGCTACGATTAAGTTGTTTAAACAAATGTGTTGCAATGGTAGGGAAAAAAATTGTGTGTCCAAAAACTGTAGGTACTGGGGATACTTACAATTTTTTTTAAAGGGATACTTTATATAAAAAAAAGGTTGAGAGATACTGCTTTACAAGTCCTTTGCTGATTTAAGTGGGGGGGGGAGGGTGATATTTCTGTTTTATTGGTGAATGTTTGTATTTAAGCCAAAAACGAGGATTTCCAATTAGTTTTTGTACATACAAATTTATATCTTATGTGTTCAGCAGACTCCTTTAATTCTGCTTTGCTGTAGATTTTGCATGGCAATATGCTGAAGCAGCAATTTAATAACTATACAGTTGACAATGCAGTTCTTGAACTGGGGCTTAAATATAGTTGACTTAATAGTCTTTCTGGTAGACTTGCTTCTTCCCAATACTTAGATTTCAGAACTCTTAACTACACAGTGGCTTTCTTTTTTTAAAGGTCTATCATAACATTGCCAGACATTGGTGAGTGTCCATTTAATATAGTAGTTTAGTTTTCCTGTGAAATGTAGATAGAAGCTACTTTGCATTCATCGGATTTGTCAATGGTGTGACAGTGTTTGCAGTGTTATATCTTTCCAAGAGAAAGTTGTTCTGCTCTACATCTATCGGTTTTATTTTCATACCACTTGTGTGCTTTGTTCATAGATCATGCATGCCAAAGTTGGATTCTCTCTCAAGTTTCCATCTAGCAGCAATCTGGATCAATTGCCCTCTACAGTATGGTAGCATTATACAAATATGGTCACCAAAATGCATTACTTACCTGCATGAGGATTCTTCTTCCAAATTGCTTCTTATGACGCACTCCTCTCATGAAGTTAACATTTGTTACTTTGACTGACAGAGATTAAATATAACTGTCAGACAGTAGGAGGAAAATGCCCTCAAGAGAACCCTTGGCTCTTTTTGTGTTATCTGTTTAGAATGTCTATGGGCTTGGTACAGTATGGCACAGCATTAGTCCTGTTGACTCTTACCAAATAATTTCTGATCTGCAAGGGAAATTATTTTGAGTTCTTGCAAAAATCATGCTGCTTCTTCAGAGCATGACTATATTTCTGTTGTAGGTACAATGAATCCCTGTTATCAGTGACTAGCTGTCCCTACCTCAATGCCTTTGCTACTTGT